ATTGCAAGCTCAAAGTCAGCCTCAGCCATTCAAGGAGGCCTTGAGCAACTCAGCAAGACCTTGTCTCTAAATAAAATATTTTTAAAAAGGACTGGGGATGATGTGACTCAGTTGTTAGATGCACCTGGGTTCAAACCCTGGTACAAAAATAAATAAATAAATGTATATATAGAGACAGAGACCTCTGATCACCAGAATCATGGAGGAAGATTGTTAGAACTCTAGATTTAAGGACTCCACCTTAGGGGTCGTTGTGGTTCACTCTAGAGATAAAGCTGCAAATAAGATCCAGCCTGCCCTGTCTTCATGGAGGTTATAATCGAGAGGAGTGAGTCTAGTTTCCTCAAAGGAGAAGAAGGCAGATTGTAAAAGAGAAGGGTATAAGCTACAGAAACCAATTCGGACTTAAAGTAATAAGAAGACATTGAAAGCTTGTGTAGTACCTCACAAAGTCTGGAGGAAAGGKCAGGAACCCAAAGACCAGTAGGGATTCGGCATCAGACACTGATGGGGAATCTCTTCCAGGGCCCTGTGTTTGGCTGAAAGAGCTCCATTTTTTTCAGTCTAGGACACATTTTTAGTCTCTATGACACAACTGGCATTTCTTGGCCTCACTTCCATGGTGCACCCACTCTTCAGCCCACCAAGAGATTGTCCAAAGTAGGAGTGGGGGTTCCTCCAAGAAAACTCTGGGGGCTGTGGCCAGATGTAGGGAAAATTGTGGCTGAGCAAGTTAAAACAACAGATGGGAAGTAAGTCCAAACAGTGGGCGCTAAACTATTCTTCCAGTAATTCAGAGACAAGAAAAGAGGCAGAAACTTAAGAAGGTTGGGGTGAGAGAAAAGTTCAGCTGCTCACCAGGTGCGAGGAACTAGGAAGCAAAATTTAATCTGCAACGTAAGGAGAATGAACCTCCAGGCAGGGTGCATCACCCCCCTCAGTGTGCACAGAGCAGGGATGTGCACACAGAATCTTCTGGCACACTGTCACCAACGGGCCTCAGTGTGCTAGTCCGATGACCTATGGAGAACYAAATATTCAAGGGTTCTTGATGGGATGGTTCTTTGCTGCACACAGCAGACCTTTGGCTTCTGCGTGTCCACTACAAAATTGTTGCAGTCCTGTTCTTACACTTTTGTATTTGTTATTTGGTTTTGCAACTGAGGTGCCCCTTAGGAATCAGAACCGTGGAACTTCACCTTGGTGGCCGGCCTGGGACGGAATGACTTGCTACTCTGGAGATCATGGGAATGGATCTGAATTTTCCAAACTGGTGACAAAGAAAGATGTTCACTCACGCTCCTGGCAAACATTCATAGCTCCGTGGTCGAATAAGCTCAGGAAGTGCTGCACCCACGAGTCTTTTCTTGGATTTTTTTTTGTGTGTTTGTGTGTGTGTGTGTGTGTGTATTTGAGGATATTGCAAAGAAATCTGTTTAACGGCCTGCAAAGTCAGCAACTTTGTGTTGGGGAGACCGTTCTATCACCCCCACAGGGTTTAGAAAGTTCTTAGAGTTTAAATGCCTGCTATCTATCTAATCTATCTCTGGGTGTAAATATATATATATGTATATATATTTATATATTTAAATATATAAATAAATGTATAAAATATATAAATATATGTATTTATAAAGTGTACCAAGGCCATCAAGTAATATAGCCAGAATCCTTAAAAAAATCCAAAGAATTCCAATCAACTTCATTTGTGATTGTTTTCTCATAAATACCTTTTAAAAAGAAATGTGCATGCTTCACTTTAATAGCACTATTAAAACTTTCGGCCTTGGGCCTAGAAGCAAAGCATCACTTGCATCAGCCTTGCATGATGAATCTGAAAGCTCAAGGGACTAATGGGTGGGTTCCCAGTGGCTACTTATTTCCCAAGGTTGTGTTTTGCCCTCAAACTAGGATTTTTATCATCCTGGCTGCACATAACAACCGCATGAGGAGTTTTGTCTTTTTTCCCAATAAAATTGACTGGGCTCTGTCTTAAGACAAATTGATTCAAAACACTTGGGCGTGGGTACTTTTTTTTTTTTTTTTTTTAACTCAGATGGTCCAAAGTGAAGGCAGACGGAAAAACACCTTCTGCAATCCTCCTCCTCCTCTCACTCCTAACACTGTGGTTTCCCAACCCCCAGGATGTCCATTGATGTTCCACTCCTTGGGCATAGAGGTCCCTGGCTCCTGGTCTTCTGATTCCTAGTTTCTATCATCATCTCCACCTGGCCTCCCAGTTCCTGTTCCACCTCTACACCAAATGTCTCCATTTTCTCTTCCCTTTAGCAACGCTTATTAATGGCCACACCTGGATCTTGTCACTGAAATGTTCATGACTCTGAAGGGTTAACTCTGGAATTTCACAGGGTTATGTTATAGGTTGCATGGTGACCCTCCAAAAGAATATGTCCACTGAGGTAGACCAGTGAGGATGAACTTATTTGGGAAAGGGGTCTATGCAGATGTAATTAAGTTAAGGACCTGCAGATGAGATCGGCGGGGATTAGGGTGAGACTCAAATCCAACCATGAGCGTCCTCTTGAGAGAAGAAAGTGGGAGAGAGGAGAGGAGACACACAGGAACGAGGGCCACCTGGGCAAACGCAGAGTGTGGAGTAATTTATCTATTGCCACCAGCAGCCACCAGAAGCTAGTTTTCACAAATGCATTAAAGTTAGGAGCATTAAAGCTGTCTCTCCTTCAGAGCTTCTAGAAGAACCAGCCCCTGCTAACAACTTGGCTGCAGACCTCTGGCCTCCAGAATTACTAAGGAATCAATTTACGTGGCGTTCTGTTGCCCAGTTTACGGTTATTTCTTACGGCACCCACAYAAAAACCACACATTACAACCTTGATTCTTTCCACATGTACCACAGTCTCAAACTCATTAAATGTCTTATCCTCAAAGTCATCTATGACCCTTTCTACTTCACTTTCCTCCATTCCTGCCCTGGATTCAATCAACAATCATTTCAATAGCGTCATCACCACCATGAATTCCTTGTGTGACTTGCTGTCCCAGTCCCTTAACAGTGCACCAGTGCAATCTCTCATCCTTCCCATTTTTTGTCCCTGGGTTGTCAAGCAGCGTGGACAAGATTGCTGACCCTTACAAGCACATCCTGTGTATGTTTATCAATTCTAGTTTTAACTGAATCTTCGGTACTGCCAAATAATCTTAAATTTGTCTTTACAGGATTCCCTTGGCCCTTGCCACCCAATCATCTTTCATAGTAAATGTTCCAGATTCTCATAATTAACCCTCTACCTTACTCCTGTCACCACCCTTAATGTCCAGCGAGTCTCCTGTTACACTAGAAAGGTATAAGCTGTCACATTTCAACTCTTTCAATCTTCCTCTCTGGAATCTTAAACCTGACCTCTATTTGTACCCCTCCTGAACCTCTTCTGCTAGTCTCAGAGAAAAGCATATGCAGGGGGGCTTACCTATCCACCTGTCCTCAGACCCTTCCACCTCCATCAAGGTCTGAAAGCACACCTGGGAAGGAGACTTCAGATCCCCTACCTATAGCCCCTAACATCTCAAGCAGAGCCAGGAAATTAAAACAGGGAGAGAGAGGGGTTGTGTTACCTGACTCTGACTGAGGTCCCAACCCACCTGGAGTTCTGTGCTTCTTCYAGTCCACACGAAGGATGTATTTCAGATGTTTTTGACAGAGGAAGATGCCAGACCTCATTTCTGTAACAGTTGCTATCCCTGCAAACCAAGCTTTTTTTTTTTTTAATCCAGAAAAAGATTTTCTTAATGTATTTGTTTAAAAAAAAAAATCTTTGCCAGAACAACATTCAGTGACTTACTTTGTATTTTTGAATATGTAATAAATGCATTAAAAATTTCAAGCAGTGTAAAAGATTATACAATCAAAAGCAATTCACATTTATCCCTGATTTCCTAGTTCTACACCCACCTCATCTTCCCTCCCTTGGAGCAACTTATCTTTACCAGTTTCTTGTGTATCCTTCCAGAGATAAACATGCTGTATCCTGCCTGTCATCATTAGAAACTATCAAGTCGATCCTTGGGAAAAAAGGTTCCAGGACCCCCAGGGATTACTAAAATCCACAGAAGCTCATTATACAAAACGGTGTAGAATTTGCTTATAACCTATACACATCCTCTCGTATACTTTAAAGCATCTCCAGAATGCTTATGATACYTAATACAGTGTAAATGCTATGTAAATGATGATTATTATGCTTTATATAAGGAATAATAAGAAATCTGTGCATTTTGAGTACAGATGCAGTTTCCCTGWAATATTTTCTATCTGCGATTGGTTGAATCCAGAGACGGAGAACCCACAGATTACAGAGAGTTGTTCTGTTGTATGTTGGAAATCCTCCCTATAAGCATGTGCAGAGCTGGGAATGTAACTCAGTGGCAAAGCACTCACCTAGCATGAGCAGAACCCCATATTCAGTCCTGAGTGCCTCTCCCTGCAAAATACAGAGCTGCCTGACTCTGTTAATTGGCTATTCCATAATTTGTTTAACCCACATTGATGTCTRTTTAAATTATTTCCAGTCTTCTGTGAATGTGTGTGTGCACACATTGAACTCAGGGGGCACTCAACCCCTGAACRACATCCCCAGCCCTATTTGCATTTTATTTAGAGACAGGGTCTCCTTGAGTTGCTYWGGGCCTTGCTAAATTGCTGAGGCTGGCCTTGAACTTGCGATCCTCCTGCCTCAGCCTCCCAAGTCTCTGGGATGACCCACGTGCGCACCATGCCAGGTTAATGCCAGTCTTAAAGCAAGCCAGTTAAAGACTTTTTGTTTTGTTTTGTTTAAAATAAATCAAGAATTCTGGTGGGTTCCTCACCAGGTGAGAACCTCAAAGGTAACAGAGAGGAGAGGGCCCAACTGACCACTGGGCAGAGGCAGCTGATGGGGCGGTGCCTGCGCCCCCCACTCATCCCACCAGGGGAACCCTGTCTGACCATGTGTCCCCCTTCTCTCCACCCCCCYCCCAACCAGGAGCCTGATGCCTAGGACCCTGGAGACCCAGATCACGCTGGAGAAGACGCCCAGCTACTTTGTCACTCAAGAGGCCCCTCGGCGGATCTTCAACATGTCCAGAGACACCAAGCTGATCGTGGTGGTGCGCAACCCCGTGACGCGCGCCATCTCGGATTACACCCAGACGCTGTCCAAGAAGCCCGACATCCCCACCTTCGAGGGCCTGTCCTTCCGCAACCGCAGCCTGGGCCTGGTGGACGTGTCCTGGAACGCCATCCGCATCGGCATGTACGTGCTGCACCTGGAGAGCTGGCTGCGCTACTTCCCGCTGGCCCAGATCCACTTCGTCAGCGGCGAGCGGCTCATCACCGACCCCGCGGGCGAGATGGGGCGGGTGCAGGACTTCCTGGGCATCAAGCGCTTCATCACCGACAGACACTTCTACTTCAACAAGACCAAAGGGTTCCCTTGCTTGAAAAAAACCGAATCGAACCTCCTGCCTCGATGCCTGGGCAAATCCAAAGGGAGAACTCATGTACAGATCGATCCCGAAGTGATCGACCAGCTCCGGGAATTTTATAGACCTTACAATATCAAATTCTATGAAACGGTCGGGCAGGACTTCCGATGGGAATAAGTCACCCACCCACAGGCAAGGGTTTCCCCGATGGCCTCTTCCATGAAGTTCCATGAGACTCATCCTCCTCTTTCCAACCCACAGGCTCCCATCCCATCTTGGAACCAGGATGTCCAGCTGCAGTCCAGGACCACAAGAGGATCCTGTCCCTGGCTCTTACTGCTCCTGGCACACCCATTCAGTTCCAGAATCATTCTCCCTCCCGCCGATCAGAGAGAGGCCTTGAGCAGTTCTGCTATCAAGAAGCGTGGCTCTCCCAAGGATAACAGATATCATAAGTGGTGATGGTTCTGTTGCTATGAACACAGCCGTGGGTCCCCGTCCCTGTCTACCCGGGAGTGGGGCTTGTGAATTCCAAGTGGCATGTATCTTCCCTCTGAGCTCAATTTCCCTGAGCATCCCTTGGTGGTGGGATGGGACACCGTCTTAGGAGCTCAACCAGAGATGGTAAAGCCAGAAGCATCCATCCGGCCCCTCCTGAGAGAYAGACCCTTTGATGATGAAATAAGCCAGTGATTTCAAACAAATGCCTGTGTGGTCTCCACTGTTCTGGAAGGACACTGTCTTTGAAAACTACTCTGTGACTCCTTGCTCCCTGTGGACAAAAAAAAAAAGCACATAATTTTGCTGTTACGGGTACTTTCCTCACGCGAGCGTTCATGTTCAGCATGCGATGGAATCATGCTTGTCCATGTGAAATAAATATGGCTCTCTTGTGTCCTTGAGGCTGAGTTCTTCTCGACACACCCATTCATTCATTCAGCTCCTCCCAACACCAGGTGCAGCTGGGCCTGAGGACGGGCTGCAGCTTTTTGCTGCTGTGACTGAAAGACCTGACGAGAACAATTTTAGAGGAGGGAAAATTTATTTGGGGGCCCATGGTTTCAGAGGTCTCAGTCCATAGACTGAGCCCCCTCGGGACTTGAAGTGAGGCAGAACATCATGGCAGAAGAGTGTGGCAGAGGGAAGCAGCTCACATGACAATCCACTTGCCAGATGCAAAATATATACCCCCAGGACGTGCCCCTAATGACCCACCTCTTCTAGCCACCCTACCCGGCTTCAGTTACCACTCAGTGAATGCCTCTTCAACAGTGGATTGATTCACTGATTAAGACTCCCCCAAACCCAATTATTTCTCCTCTAAACCTTCTTGCATTGCTTAAACATGTGAGCTTTTGTGGGGGACACATCACATCCAAACCATAACAGCCTGGCATGGGGGAGAGGCCAGGGGGCAGAAATGGCAGGGGGGGAGTTCTTGCTAGCAAAGTCTGGCAAAGAAGGATCCTATGGAGACGTGCAGGGATGTTCTCTTYCTGAAACGTAAGTCTGGCTGGGTCAGTTCTCTGCTTGGACACTCTGGAATCAAAATCTAACTCACAAGGGCAGAAGACACAAAAGTCTAAGACATGAGATTTGTGTCTTGGTTCATCTTTCTGACCTAAGTATCTCCCAGGGCATCAAGTGATGGGTCCGTGGTACAGAGAAATCAAGGCTGTGGGTTCGCCCCTCTGAGCTTCCTCTATGCAATTGGAGGGAATTGGAGAAATGATACAGAAGAAAGAGCTATTATCAGCAGGAACCTGAGGTCCACCTTCTGGTGACCAGAAAAGGGATGGATTATATATAAACTGCCCTTATATATCCCCCATCCCAAAGTATTTGGTGTCCTGGAATCCTGAGCCAAGCAGTAGCCAAAGCTGTATGCAGAGGGACAGAATCACACTGGGGTGTGAAGAAAACACCTGATAAAGAGTCAGTAAAATGTGCTTGTTTATCCTGATTGGGAAGAGTTCAGTCAGAATTGATGAAGATTCTGAATTTTATGTGCATTAATGCAGCTTAACTCCTTGGCATTACAAACATTCTCAGACTGCCCAGACTAAGTAGCCTCCCAGTCTTAATGAATAGGTATGAGTCTGTGGTAATTAGCATATCAATCATTGTATGCAAATGAGAGAGGCTAAAGTACCTTAAAAAAAATTCTAGTTTAAATGAGTGAAATTCAGAGTACATGAATCTGCTCAGCAAACTCTAATTTTTAATCCAGTGCAAATGGTCCCTTTTACCCAGTCTGCCCCGGGGCAAACTTGCTCACATTCCAAATTAGTGAGGTTTAAATAAATGAAGTCTGACTATTCAATAGGAAACCAAAAAGGAAGTCTCTTGTGTGCTTGTGTGTCTTTGTGTGTGTGTGTGTGTCTGTATGTGTGTGTGTTTGCTGGTGTATTTGCTGAAACAGAATCCCAAATTGGCAGTACCTTAAGCGATTGACRTGTGTTTCTCTGTCGCTGAGAACCCAGAGCGTGTGACAGGTCCAGGACATCAGAGACTGGTCTCCAGGTGCCTGTGATTCAGGATGGTTCACCTTTGTGCATTCCACTCATCAGGAAGGGAGTGAGACGCTAATGAGGACCACCCAAAAGAGAGCAAACAGGGCTATCGATTGAGAGCTTGCTAGAGCAAGGAGCCGTGCATCTGGCAGAGACTCAAGGCAGCAGAGGAGGAGAAAGGTTTATAGTGGAACCAAAGAAAGGCTTCAAGTCACCCTGGAGTGGAGGCTGTTTGTTATCGGGGCTGTTGGTGGGGAGCTGGACACAGACTCATTAGAAGTGAGACAGCTTCTGTGAGTAGTTTGGGGACACACTTGACTTTTTCTAGTTGGTCCTGAGTTGGAGGCAAGGACAGATATAGGGAAGCGAGCCATCTTTGACCAAGTCCTGAACAGTTCTGGCCCAGATGGTGCAGAGGTGGTGGGTCAGAGGTCCACTGTCAAGTTGTCTGGCTACTGTCCATGCGTATAGTTAGTATCTCAAAAAGAGCAAAAAGGGGCACTGGAAGAACATGCCTCTTCCATTTGAGGTTGCAACATCACAACTTTCCCACGCTGCGGATAGTGCCCCCTAAGGGTGGATGAAGGTAGTGCTACTATTTTCACCCACATTGCCTTGAGTAGAGAACTCAGTCCCTTGATCACACTGAAATGTGAGAGAAGCTGGGAAATGTAATCCTGAATTGGCGTCCTACTGTGTTCAGCTAAAAATAGGGGATTCTCCTGTAGAAGGAGAGGACAGATATTAGGGATACCTAACCGTCCTAATCAGAGAATCTTATCCACACAGCAAATTTTGTGGGTGTGTATGTTTCTCTCGACACCTTGGGGAATGCCGGCTGTGAGTCACCTCACAGAGAGCATGTGTCCACCCTRTGTCTGACCCTGCTTTGTCCCCACCCTGCTTCTGTCTACAGACAACATGCTACAGAGGCAAGCACCATTTGGGGAGCCCAAAAGGACTGACATGAAGCCCTACCTTTGCAATGTCCTGACTGTGGACAAATTATCTAACTTCTCTGGGCCAATTTTTACCATTAGTAAACTGGGACGTAGAGTGAACTTATGATAAGAGATTTCCAACGTGCCTTGAATTAAGTCACTCTTGCAACCCAGGATCCAGTGGCTGGGTCCAAGCCGGCTCAGTCTAGACTCTGGGATCCAGAGTCTCTGGCAAGATAGAACTAATATCCATTGCGCCCAGGGTGTGAACAAAGTCCCACTTGCTGATTAGATAAAACAGGTGCAATGACAGTGCATCTCCCAGGAACCAGAGGGACGTGATATGGTCTGTTCCTCACCCTGGTAAAGAACCTACTGGGTGAAATCCCAGAAGTGAAGAATTGATGGGATTTCACCCAACCGGGCCTCTACTTACTGAACACTTCTGCAAACTGGCCGGGTGCCAAGGCTGCACAGTGTGTGGTCTTTATTCCTGTCCCCACCCACGGAGCTCTCCAAGGAATGAGAGTCACAGAAACAAATAACTGTTATCTACCTTGATGAGGACAACAGGAAGTGACATCCTCAGGATCCTCATCTTTGGGAGAAGAGTGCCACCTGCCAGCCGGAAARTCCCCTGGGGGCATGATTTTTTTAGGGGAGCGCCTTAAGATCAAGGATTAAGGATCCTGGGCTAAATTCTGGAACAGGATTTGTCTCTAAGTCTGTCTGCACCACGCCCCAGTCTAGGGGCTACTCTTTTCCCCCAGATTCAAGGTGGACCTCACACCTGTCTACCTGTAGTAGGTGCAGAAATAGAGATCCACTCCTTTCCCAGGAGAATACGGACTGCTGTCTTCCTGGCTAGACAAATGTCACCTCATGTTCCTTCCTCGCCTTTCAGAGTTCAGCCCCAGAGACGAACAGTCAACTTAGGCCGATAAATAGGTGTCCCGTGGGCTCCTGGCCCTGACAATGAACTTGGCACTGTTTTTTTCCTGATWAGTCTGGAGAGCGTGTGGCTCTTATCAGTTGGGGGTGGGAAGTCCGCATAAATATCCCAAAACGAATGTATAAAAGACTCGTTCCATTTTTCTTGTGTGGAATGAAAACATCAATGTCCTATTTAAATAGAAAGTGTATTCCTAATGGGCTTTTTTTCCCTCCCCCAGACCAGAGTGACTTAAACGAATTAAAGAATTAGCCTCTCCAATTCAAGAAGCCTGGGGTTGGAATGTTAGAGCCAGAACAGCAGTTGTTGTATGATTAGGGACTAAGGCTCTTTCTGTCTTTCTACTACAATCCTGAGCCCACGGTTGTGTGTGTTGCTGTGCCCAAAATATCTAACAAGAGGGACTTGGAGGAAGGCAGGTTTATTTTGGCCCATGGTGCAGAGGTCTAGTCCACAGTTCTGGGAAAGGTGGAAAGCCATGGTGGAGAGAGCTGCTCCATTGAAGAGAGCCAGGAAGCAGAGAGAGGATGTGGATCAAGGGGCCAAAGATAAGATGCACCCTTCCAGGACAGACCCCTAGTGACCCACCTCCTCCAGTCATGCCCACCCTGCCTACAGATATCACACAGTTCGTTTAAACTAGACAGACTGATTAGGTTCCAGCTCTCACAGCTTAATCAATTCACCTCTGAACATCCCTGCATTAACACAGGAGCTTTGGAGGACACCCCATATCCAAACCACAACATTTGGCTTCCATCCTCATAGTCCAAGATGGCTGCTGGGGCTCCAATCACCACAGCTATGTTCCATCTAGAAAGATAAGGAAGGAAGGAAGGGAGGGAGGGAGGGAGGGAGGGAGGGAGGGAGGGAGGGAGGGAGGGGAACTTTCCTTCTAAGTCAA